AGAGAGAGAGAGAGAGAGAGAGAGAGAGAGAGAGAGAGAGATATCCACCTGCTTCAGTGAGTGCGTGAGCCATCACTTCGTGGACCAAGGGCCATTCCTATTCAAACCACCACACCCTGGGTCTTTTTTCCATCATCCTCCTTCAAGCATCTGCTGAGATTCAGAACTTGCCTGCCCTGGAGTTCTTCTGCTAAACTTTAATAAATTATCCTCCACCTCAATTTGCATCCATTTTTAAAGTTCTTTTATTAATGAGACTAAGAACCCTGAAAGGGGATGCCAGTCTCAGTGACGGACGCGAATCTTTCTAAGACCACAGCCTAAAGTAAAGCCTTCCTGCCCGCGATTACTTCAGTCCCATATCTGGTCATGGGGCTGCCTTGAACATTCCTATACATGTTTGTGTCCAAACCCTTGTTTTCCTTGGGTTGCACACACACCCAGTAGACTGTCAGGATAAAATGGGAATCCTGCTTCACTCTCCTTGAGCTGACAAGCTGTTTTCCATAACAGCTGCAACAGTCGAATTCTCTCTAGAAAGGTGTCAGGGTCCAGCTACTCAGCATCCACCCCAATCAACACTTGCTGTTTCCCCTTTCTGGATGCCAATCTTCCTGGTGGGTGTGAACTGACCTTGTGTCATGGCTTTCTCTACATTCTCCCAATTATTATCGACATTGAACACCTTTCCAGGTACTCTGTAGCCAACTGAATAACATCTTAAAATAGGACATTGTATGTATGTCATTATTAGGGGCAAATAAAAATACACACAGAAATATGGTTATAGGGGCTAGAGAGATGGCTCAACATCTAGAGAACACCAGCTGCTCTTCCCAGGACCCAGGTTCAATTCCCAGCACCCATACCCAGTTCCAGTACACCTGACATTCTTTTCTGGCTTCTGTGGACACTGTACAGATGTGATGTACAGACATACATGCAGGCAAAACACTCATACAATACAATAATAATAAAATTATCTAAAATATTGTTATAAATAAACACTAAAGATGTGTCTGAGAGAATATTAACAGTGATTACTTAGTATATTACATTCATCTGTGATACATTTCTGTTTTACATCTTCCTTCTTTTATGGGAGTGTATTTGAATAAGTATTTGAAGTGAGAAGCCTGGAGGCAAAAATCACAGATGTGACTTTCAGAAGAGAAAAACATACTTTTTTTTTTTTTTTTTTTGGTTTTTGAGACAATGTTTCTCTATGTAATAATTCTGGCTGTCCTGGAACTCACTCTGTAGACCAGGCTGGCCTTGAACTCAGTGATCTGCCTGCCTCTGCTTCCCAAGTGCTGGGACAACAAGTGTGAGCCACCACTGCCTGGCCAAAAGCATACTTTTCTTTATCTCTTTTTGAGGCCAGAAGTTAGACCCCACCAAGCAGTCAGGAAGGAGGCTCCTAACCCTGAAGGCTTCCCCTCGATGACAACCCCTTGCCCACCAAGGTTGGTTCTTAGAAAAACTACAGAGAGCCAGGCGGCGGTGGTGGCACACGCCTTTAATCCCAGCACTCGGGAGGCAGAGGCAGGCAGATCACTGAGTTCAAGGCCAGCCTGGGCTACAGAGTGAGTTCCAGGAAAGGCTCCAAAGCTATACAGAGAAACCTTGTCTCAAAAAACCAAAAACAAAAAAAGAAAAACCAGAGATGCCTGGCGTGGTGGCACACACCTTTAATTACAGCTCTTAGGAGGTAGAGGCGTCTGATCTCTGAGTTCAAGGCCAGGCTGGTCAGCCAAGCAGGGGGGCGCTGGGTTGTTGCACATAGAAACCCTGTTTCAAAAAAACCAAACCAACCAACCAAACAAACAAACAAACAACCAAACAAACAAACAAACAAAACTCACAGAGTTAGACAGCCAATTGCTCTTGTCAGTTCACGTCTGTTTCCTCTAGGGTCCCCTACTCCCTTTGCTAAGTGGACAATGGAAAGCATGCTCATTGGCAGCTCATGACTACATCCCCTAAAGTCACTCTCACTTTACAACATCCTTTTTAAAGCCCTAGGCAGGATCCAGACAGCTGCAACTTCCTCTTGGGACTCCCTTCCTTACAGATTTCATTCAGGGACTCAGGATAAACCAACTTAGCCTTGGCCTCTGGTCACTATTGACTATTCACCCTCTTTGTATCAATCCCAAGCCCATTTGAATCTCTTCAACAGACTTCTTTGCACTCAAGGAGACCATCTGTATCTCATTTTTAAAGTTGTATTTATATTTTTATTTTAAATTATATGTATGTGGGGCTGGAGAGATGGCCCACAAGTTAAGAGCACTTGCTGCTCTTCCAAAGGGCCTGAGTTCAATTCCCAGCAACTACATCTGGTGCCCTCTTCTGGCCTGCAGGGATACATGCAGGCAGAGCACTGGATACATAATAAAGAAACAAATCTTTAAAAAAAAGTTATGTGTATGTGTGTCTTTATATGTGTGGAGGTTGTTGAGAGTTTTGTGTGTGTGTGTGTGTGGGGGGGGTGCACATGTGAGCACAGTTGCTCACTGAAGCCATAAGAGGGCATCAGAACATCAGATCCCATGGAACTGGAGTTAAACCTGAGGTAGGTGCTGAGAACCAAACTTGGATCCTCTGAAAGGGCAGTAAGTACTCTTTGTCATCTTTCCAGTCCTTACATCTCACATTATTATTATTATTATTGTTATTATTATTATCATCATCATCATATTTTTTATTTTGAAGCAGGGTTTCTCTGTGTAACAGTCCTGGCTGTCCTGGAACTCCCTCTATAGACCAGGCTGGCCTCGAATTCACAGAGATCTGCCTGCCTCTGCCTCCCAAGTGCTGGGATTAAAGGTGTGCACCACCGCTGCAGCCCAGACTTCATGTTACATTTTATTTGTTTCATTATGTTGTTTTGTTTTAAATGCAGGGGCATTAGGATGAAGAGATGGAACACAGGGCTTCCCACTTGCTCAGCAAGGGCTTTATCATTAAGCTAGCCCCACTGTGAGGGGCACCTCCAGAGACAGCCCTCGTCCATAGCGCAAAAGGAGTGGATTCCAACACCTCCCGTACCCATTAATTCCCCGCAATCCTTCGCTTTCTTTCTTACTAGGGAAAAACCTGAAAGCATCACTACATAACACCCTAGAAGAACCTAACACAGTGACCCCACAGATTTGTAGTGTCAATTTGCAAAGCCGAGGCAGAGCTTACTTTAAGACCAGGAGTTTGAGACTGCTCATGGTGACATAGTGAGACCCTAACTTAGGGGGAAAAAAGAAAAAAGACAATGAAAAAAAATGCCAGGCTTTAGATTGAATAAGCACAGTAATTCATGCCCACCCCTCCAGAAAAAATAAGTCTGAGGTGAGAGAAGGCAGGTCTATCAAGTGATTAAAAAGGGGGTCAAAGTAGTGAAAATGGAGCTGAAATTTAACCTCCTCTTGGCTTCCTACGTCCAGAGAGTAGTCCAGCTTGGGTGAAGGAGAATGCACCTTCACTATAAAGACCTGTGGTCAATTAGAGAAAGTCAAGGGTCTTTGGCTCAGACACCAGCCGGCCTCCCTCACCCACGCACTGGATCCGTAGCGACCCCTGCTGGCGTTCAAGTAAGGTTCGGGTATGGGTGACAGCTCTGTTTATTCTGGGATCCGCAGAGGTAGTTGGGTGGGTAGGGTGGTCCCAGGCCAGGTGTAGGGTTACTTTGTGCCAGTGCTCAGCGGCTCCACCCGCAGCCACAGCCCGCCCTCTGCGCGCAGGATCAGCTCCGGCTGCCTGCGCGGCTCCTTGTCATCAGGCAGGAGGCGGAAGCGCAGCAGAGTGAGCGCCAGCACCACCTTCATCTCGTTCATGGCGAAAGTCTGTCCTATGCAGTTCCTGCGGGAGGGAGGGGTGGGGACTGTGACTGCGCCCGGACCCAGCTAGGCATCGGAGGACCCAATCTGACCCGGTCCCTGCCGCGCCTGATCAGCCAGAAGAGCAGGAGGGACCGTGATGCGCCTGGGACAGCGCTTGGGTATCCTGCTTCCCCGAAGCTTTTGCAGCCTCAGAGCCCAATTCAGACCAGGGCGGGGCTCTGAGCACAGAACAGCAGCCCTTCACCTTCCAACCCCTACTCTCCAGACCTCAGCAAATAACCTGAGTAGAGGGCAGGAAGGAGACCCAGAACCCGACCGTCCCATTTCCCCACTATTTCCACTGTCAGCCCCACTCCATTAACCCAATCCCGCTGCCCTCACCTGGGCCCTGCTGAGAAGGGAATAAATGCCAGAGGTGACCTGTCTTTGATGTTTTCAGGGTCAAAGCGGAAGGGGTCATAGACCTGCAGAAGACATTGAGCCAAGGTAGATGAGTGACCTTCCAGTACAACTAGGGGCAGAGTCCAGAGTGTTCTCGGGGAGGCGAGGTCTGATTTCCTAGATCAAAGCCACACCTCTTCCCCTAGTATCCCTACCACACGATGTGGGAAAATAGGGGGTAAGACAGGCAGCACCTCAGGGTCCGGCCACACAGATGGGTTGTGATGAATCCCAAAGATGCTGATGAGGCAGGCGACACCTGAGGGAGAAGAGGGGGGTTGTACCGACAAGCCTGTGCTGCCTACCCTGGACCCTTATTCCCTGTCCTATGTGCACCTTTAGGGATGACCCGGCCATCTGGGAGCACAACGTCCTGAGTGCAGCATCGGGAGATGACAGGGACCGGGGGATGCAGCCGCATACTCTCCTTGATGCACATGGTCAGGAAGGGCATCTGGTTCAGGTCGTCCCTAAGGAAACCCTTTGAACTATTACTCAAGGAGCAAGAGAGAGACTGGAAGCCCACGTGGATCAGTGAAATGTTTTCTCACCAAGGTGGACCAAATATGTGGTAACTGGAACAGTAGAGAATTAGGAAGTGTTATAAATTGGGACTGATTTCCTGCCAAGCTGTAGCCTTCTGACCAGTCCTTAGCCTGGTCCCTCCCTGGTCTCTGGAGCCACAGTGGAGGTGAACACAAAACAGGTGGGAAAGCCACTGTAGGAGGGATGAATGACCCAGGGGCCCTGGGCAGCACATAGACTGACATTTTGTTTTATTTTATTGAGACAGAGACTCTCCACACAGCCTTGGCTACCTTGGAACTTGCCATGTAGACCAGCCTGACCAGGAACTCAGAGGGCCTCTTGTCTGCCTCCCGCATGCTGGGATTAAGAGTGTGTGCCATTTTATTTGTAAGTGTGTGTGTGTGTGTGTGTGTGTGTGTGTGTGTGTGTGTGTGTGTATTTATGAGTGCAGGTCAGGGCTTCAGATCCACTAGAACTGAGTTCCTGTTGGTTGTGAGCTACCAGATGTGGATTCTGGGAACCAAACTTGTCAAGAGCAGGAAGTGCTCTTAATAGCTAAGCCATATCTCTAGCTCTAGCACACTTTAATGCCCAAATATCACCTATGAGTTCCTGAACATAGCACTACATAAGATCTAGGGTACAGGAGAAGAATAAACACTCATGGAAGAAAACATCTATTGGAAAGAAAAAAGACTAGGGGAAGTACTTTCACTGAACACATGCAAAAAATCACCAACTTTTCCTTATCTCTGTTCTCTCAGCAACACAATTTTTTCTGTTTCAAAGCCAACAACCGCTTTCTTGCTAGCCAGCCTTGGTACCAGGTCTGTTCTCTGGGCTCACATTCTGTGCCCGTGAGCAAATATAGGAAAATCATCAAAGAGTGACTCAACCCCTACTTGAGGAGGAGAGCCAAGGAGAGAGGAATGTGCCAGGAAGACCTATTCTCACCATTCAATCTCCTCAGGCTCTCGGTCCCTCAGCAGCTCCTGCACCTCCTGCCGGCAGCGCTCCTGGTACTCTGGGTGCTTTGCCAAGTTGTACAGGACCCAGGAGAGCCCACTGGCTGTAGTGTCATGGCCTGAGGGACAGACAGGCATGGGTCTCTGCACTGCTTCAGCACTACTGAGTGGACAGCACCCACGTAATTAAGTCCAGGAAAGGATGGAAAAGGGAAAGGGTAGAACCAAAGGATTCCAGGTCCTCCCAACAAGTCTCAAGATGGAGAAACTCCTGCCTCCTCCCTAGTCCCACACTGGGACCCTCACCCTCAAACATGAAGGTGTCAGCCTCTGCTCGGATGTCCTCATCTGACAGCTCCTTTCCATCTTCATCCTGGAGACAAGGCAAGACCCACGAAATCTCAGAAGTTCTGAAAATTTCTGTGTTTAAACTATGACATTTTCAAAGGATCTGTTGTTCAGCCAGAAACCAAAGGCCACCCACCACTGCATATCTCTTGGCTATTACTATTATTACTATTGGTACAATCACACCTTCCCAGGCTTTCTGCTCGTTATCCTGTTTCCTGTGTTGTTCACAGTTGGAAGAGCCAGCAACTTATACATAAAATGTCATCATGTTTCTGCTTGATGAGGAATTTATGGAAAACCAACAGTGACTTGATACGTAAGATGACTGTATGGCAACTTGCCTTGGGAATCAGAAGTAAATCTTTATTCCAAAGACTTCTATCTATATTCAAAAATGCTAGATCCAGGGAACCTTATCTCACCTGTTGAAACATGGTTTGCAAATCTACAGACTTTGCCCTGAAGAGAAGCTGTTTAACTCTAGAACAAAGTTTTCTCTCTCTCCCCTTCCTCCTTTCCTCCCTCCCTCCCTCCCTCTTTGTTCACCATTTACCACCTTGAGGGGAACTAGATTCAGGTGTACTTGTTATTCAACATGAACCACAGATGATAATGCACTGCCCTTTCTCTGTGATGTAAACCCTGTGGCATATACAGCTAAACACTTCATCTCCTGGAAAGGGGGAAAATGGAGAAGCCATTGCTGCATCTTATTCTGGCTGTGCCTGTTGCCATGACTAATTAAGGGCTGCTGTGATTACTGACTTGAAGCAGTTGCCAGCATGTGTACATGTACAGACATAAATGCCCTACAGTGATGTATTAACCTGTAAAGTGCTCAGGCTTTTCACAGTTTCAGCCTTGGCAGTTTCCTGAAGTCTGTATTCCAGGATCATTGATAAAATCTGCCTATGCATGCCATGTCTCTCCCAACCCCTCACCTGCATGGCTCCACAGTGCCCCCTGTATCAAGCTCATGTTATTTGACTTGACATTTGGCATCGATATTCATCCTGCTTCTTGATATGCCCACCTTGACCAACAGCAGCACATCAATGAAATCCAAAGTCTTGTTCTCAGCCTTGGACTTTAGGAAATCATCCAAACCCTGATCTGGGAGGGTGCAGCGCCGCTTCTGGATGACAGCATCAGTGAATTTATGCACCAAGTTGCAGGCCTTACGGAAGCGCATCCCATCGGGGGTGAGATTGTACAGCAGGTCAATGTACAGCAGAGGCTGTTGGTGCCTTTTGACCACTAGAGCACTGAGCTCCAAGATGGCAGCAATATAGTCACTAGGCTTCCTTCAGGATTTGGACAGAGGAGACAGCAATTTAAAATACATGAATCTTGTGCTTCTTACCAGCAGCCAGGAGCCATTGGGAATGGAGTAGCCAGGAACAGTTGGCCACAGAAGAAGAGTGGAATGAGCCCTGAGATTCAACTCTCAACAAGCTCATCACATCTCTGTGAGCTGCCTCCACACCCGTAGGCCCCCAAGCCACAGTGTGGACAGCTCTCAATACTGACTTATTATGAAGACACTAGATGAGTCAACAGTGGCAACATTGATACTGATAGGTGAGCTGAATGAGGTCCAAGCTAGATGAGCAGTTTAAGGAAGGAGGTATCACTAGCTCTGCAACTTAGAATTAACTCCCTAAGGTGTGTGTGTGTGTGTGTGTGTGTGTGTGTGTGTATTCTTGAACTTTATTTATATATTATATATTTATTTATTTAAATTTTATATTTATTTAAATATTTAAATATTTATATCTTATTTATTTCATATTTTTTGGTATATAATTTATTTATTTTGTTGGGCATGGCAGCACATGACTTTAATCCCAGCACCCTGAAGGCAGAGCCAGGTAGATCTCTGTGAGTTTGAGGTCAGCCTGGTCTACATAGTGAGTTTCAGGCCAGCTAAGGATACATAGTGAGACCTTGTCTTAAAAAAAGTATTTATTTTTATTTTATGTGTTTTGCCTGATGTATGCATTTGTATACCGGTGTCCTTGAAGGGCAGAAGAATGTGTTGGGTCACCTAGAACTGGAGTTACAGATAGTTGTAAACTTCCATGTGGGTGCTGGGAATCAAACTCGGGTCTCTGCAAGTGTCAGCTCTCCAGCTCTCCTATAGAATATTCAAGGCCATAGAACTTCAAGATGTGGGGGCTAGGGAGGAATGTCTTAGGACATTATGTATGTTCTTGATGGGGATAATCTATCTGTTAGCCTCTTTTTTTGTCTGTCTGTTTCTAGATGTTATGAGGTGTCAGACTCTTTTAACAGGTGCTCCTGGCTGTGATTTGCTGTTATACAGGCTCAATGGAGCCGACCGACCATTTACTAAAGCTTCCGAAACCACAGGCCAGAATCAGCCTGCCCTCATTTCAAGCTCTCTCAAGTACTTTGCCACACTCTTGGAAATATGACTAGCACAAGAAATATGACAAACACCTTCATAGTTTCCCTAGAACCATAGACTAAAAGTACTCCTGCCTTACACTGGCCGTTTGATCCCTTGATTTTCATTTCTAAGGTGCCTCCCCATTTCCTCTCCCACCAGTTCTGCTTGTCACCATCTCTGTGGCTTTACTGAAACAATCCTACCTCCTGTGAGGAAGAATCACTTTCTCCTTTCCCACGTCTTTCAGCGTTGGTTCTGAACCGCCTCCTCTAGGGAGGCCACTCTAGTCCTCCTAGTCAGTCCTCCCTCCTTTTGGTCCATGACCCAGGTTCTGAGGCCCAGAACAAAGACTCACTCCTGACAGTTGCTGTTAAAACTGAAGACACATTTCTGCAGACTGTCTAGAGTCATGAGGCTGACATGTTCAAACATGTCCAGACGGGCGCTGCCTTTGGAGATCATGTGCTGCCATTTGGCCTGGCAGAAGGAGAGAGGACAGGGATTAAACCTTGGCTCCTTGAGACCCTGCCTAATCAAAACCCCTGACCCAGAACCAGCCTCTTCATCTTATGCTCCAACCACACAAAACCAGGAATAGCCAGGGTGTGGAAATGAGGGTTCCAGGGACTCACGTGCATGATGTTGGTGCTGTCATTGAAAATCTTCACATACGGCTTCAGGATGTTGAAATGGAAGGCAGGTGTCAACATCCGCCGGTGGCGGCTCCACTTGTCACCAGCACTCAGCAGGAGCCCATCCCCTGATGGAGCAGCCATAGTATTAGGCAAGAGTAGACTTTTCCCTGACCCCTAAGGGTGTCCTTTGCCCCTCACCTGCAGATACTCACCCAGCCAAGGTTTCAGAAAGCTGTAGAATATCACATCCTTGAGAGAAACTGCAGCTGACATGAACAAGGACAGTTGGGGGTCACAGAGTCAGTGAGGGCAGACCATGGAAGGTGGGTGGGAATCCCTCCCAGGAGTCTGTCCTTCACCTCCAAAGTCCACATGCCATGAAGAGAACCAAGGACAGAGGAAGCAAAATGAAGTTGAAAATGAGAGAAGACTAGACCAGGCAATAGCAGTAGCAGCAGGTAAGACAAAGGTATGGCCTGACATGCTACATTATGTTGCAGCACCAATTCACATGGCTTCTACATAGTCTAACATGTCTGCCATACCTGATCCCATCATAACACTCTGTGACATTTAATGGAACCTAGGTCTCTGTCATCTAGGCACCCTAGGTTTCTGACATTTCCTGAACAGATATGGGACACATCACAAGGACACATAAGGGTTAACCTGACATAACTACCTTGACATCTTGACCCCTTATGCTATAACATGGACCAGAGATCATCTGACAGACATCTGTGTATACCTCAGTCAAGCTGCTGACAAGACTTGAGAATAGTTATGTATGGTGGTTTGAATGAGAATGTCTCCCAGAGGCTAATGTACACGAATATTTGTTCTCCAGCTGGAGGCACTGTTTATGGAGGTTTAACAGGTGTTGCTTTGCTGGATGAAATGCCTCACTTGCGTCGGGTTTTTGAGAGTTCATAGACTATAGCTACTCCTGGATTCCTCTTTCTTCTTTGTGTTTATGGTTGAGTATGTGATCTCTCAGTTTCCTACTCTTGTCACCATCACCATGGTGGACTCTCCCTCCAAAACCATAATCTAAAATAAACTCTTCCCTCTATGAGTTCCCTTGGTCATGGCATTTTATCACAGCAACAGAAAAGTTACTAAGGAATTGTGGTTCTTGTCGTTTCCAACACTCAAGAGGTTAAATCAAGAAAATCCAGAGTTTGAGGCTAGCCTGGACTGAGCAGCAAAACAGTATCTCAAAAAAAGCAAAAGCTCCATTAATATACCAGATGTGGCCCAGATCGTAACCCACTGATCTCACCTGGAGGTTCTTAAAGTCTTGCCTTGGATACAACATAGATAAAATATCCATCAATTCTCAGAAGGACCCTGGATCCCAGACCTTGGATAGCCCTAAAGAGGGTCCAGAGATGAAAAACAAGAAGGCCATCTCCAATAGCTTCTCAGTACCTGCCATACCTCATATATTCAGATCTGAAGTTAAGCCCAGACATGACCACTATCATGCATCTCAGCTGCAACAAATACAAATGCAAAAAAAAAAAAAGATGGAAATGTAAACTTGCAACAGCTGTGACCACACAGATGACATCACATAATTATGTTCACAAAATAAGCAACATGATCAGACATAAGACAGGGTATGTCCAGGTAAGAAAAATGGGGGAGCATCAGGGCCACAACCCAGCCTGCCTGCCTGATACACATTACATTATCAGCTAGAGAAATCATACAGACCTCAGTTGTGGGCAAGCTGGAGCCAATACAGTCCACATGGAGTAAAGAGCATGGACTTCATGAACGTAGGGTGGTTTGGACTGGGGAGGTGACTCAATGGATACAGGCACTTGCCTCAAAGCCTGAGGACCAGAGTATGAATCCCCCAAAACCAGATTTGGCAGCACGTCTGTAATCCCAGTGTTCTTATGGTAAAATAGGAGCCAGATACAAGAGGGTTCTCCACCTGCCCCTGAAGCTTGAGGTCTATCCAACTAGTGTGCATATACTTGAGTAAACAATGAGAGACCCTGTCTCAAACAAGGTGGAAGGCAAGGATCAACACCCAAGGTGCCCTCTAACTCCACACGTGTGCCATGGCATGAACATGCCTGCACTCACATGCACAAACATGCCCTCCCACAAGTATTTTAAAGAGTAAAGTGGGGTGGTTGGTTTAGATGCTCAAGTTCCAGGACATAATTGAAATAATTTGGCAGGCAGGGGGTGTCAGGCCCATGCCTGGCAAGGGACAGAGCTGTGGTGACTCTTCTCTTTCCCTTCTTAGCCTGGTGTGTCCCAAGATGGGAAGATGAGAATGCAGAAGGAGGCTAGGCTGAGGTGGGTGTCCTAGGGAGATTTCCGGGCCTTCACAAGACACCAACGAACATAAGGTGATCAACCAACTCAGCAGAGTTGGGTGGTTTGGAAATAACAGACCAGATTCTCTAATAGCCAGCCACCTGGCCCTGCTTTCAACACTACTACTTGTGCCCACAGATATAGCTTGAACAACTCCTCCTCCAGGAAGCCTCTGCATATAATTCTCACAGAGACCACACCTCTCCACTTAGCTGTCAGGGCCTCTCTCCCTCTGACAACACAAGGTTAGAGATGTCCCTGTCAAGTTCTATCTCAATAACTGACTTCCTCTAGGACAGGACCTTGGGTTGAAGACACCTGGAGACTGAGAAAAGTCCAGAACACCAAGATCCAGGTGAGTGCAGACAATAGAGTCATGTGGGAGCTGGTGAAACCATAAAGAGAAGAGAGGGGCTGACAGGGAAGAAAGGAGGGGCTGGACCACTTCAGGAGCTGAACAGAAGTATGTGGCTAGGGAATGGAAGCCCTTAGATTCCCACCACCAGCAGCTCCCATGAGTACCTGAGGCATTGAGGACAGATCGGACGATGTCAGAGTGGCACAGAGTGATGATGGGGAACATTGGGCCCATCCACATCATAAAGCCGTGGGGGTAGGTGACTATCAGCTGGGTCAGTGTCTTCATGCCCTGCTCTGTAGGTGTGACCTGCAAGCAACAGGGGGACAGTCACCTCCGGAGGTGGTTTATATCAGGGATCAAGTTGGCTGGGTGAAGAGATGCCCAGGTAGGGATGCTCATGACCTCTGGGTGTGTCTGTGATGGTGTTTCAAAAAGAATTATTATTTGCATCAGTAGACAGCGTGGACAATACCATCCAACCCACTGAAGATCTAGAGAGACTAAGCAGAGAAGGGGAAAAGTCCATCCCTTTTCCAGAGCTGGGGCACCCATCTTCTCCTACCATCAGATATCAAAATTCTGGTCTTTGAAATGTTAAGCTCCAGTGTTGTGAGTGTTTCTCTGTCCCACTTACAAGCTCCCAAATCATGACACATAGACTTATTATTAATTATGAAAGCTTTGCCAATAGCTTAGGCTTCTTTCTAACTAGCTCTTATAACTTTCTATTAATTTACTTTCTGCCTGGTGGCTTTATTGCCTCATCTCCATACTGCCCATCCACCTTGCTCTGAACCCCCTGGCATCTCCTCCTTCTTTCCCAGTGTCCTCTCTGCATCAAAACTCCTGCCTAGCTATTGACTATTCAGCTTTCTTTTTTAAAAATAAGATTGATTTATTTATTATGTATACAGTATTTTGCCTGCATGTGTCCCTGTAGGCCAGAAGAGGGTACCAGATCTCATTATAAGTGGTTGTGAGTCACCATGTGGTTGCTGGGAATTGAACTCAGGACCTCTGGAAGAGCGGTCAGTGCTCTTAACCACTGAGCCATCCCTCCAGCCCGACTATTCAGCTTTCTTGTTTGTTTGTTTGTTTTTGTTTTTTTAGACAGGGTTTCTCTGTGTTGAAGATCTGGCTGTCCTGGAACTCACATTGTAGACCAGGCTGGCCTCAAACTCACAGAGATCCACCTGCCTCTGCCTCCTGAGTGCTGGGATTAAAGGTATGCACCACCACTGCCTGGTGGCCATTCAGCTTTTTTATTAAACCAATCTGAGTGATACATCTTCACAGTGTACAAAAAAGGTTACTCTACAATTCTCCAGTATTTACACTTGAGCCCCTACACACCCCTGGGTTCTCATATTGTTGTTCCAAGACTGAGTTGCTCACAGCCCAGATTCCTTTTTGCAGATGGCATACTGAAGTACTCCTCCATCTCCATAAAGACATAAGCCAATTTCCATAATGCACTGTACCTCTCTCTCTTCTACCCTGCTTTACATATATGTATAGATATGCATGTATGTATACATAGCTGTATATGTGTGATAATGATGTCTTTGTCAAAGACAGACTGCACAGATTTATCTGTTATGGCTACAATGAAGCTAAAGAATCTCTGTTGCCTATTATTTTCCTTATACATTTCTATGTTTGGATACATTCAGATGCATAAATACCATGATATAACAAATCTCCTACAATATTGAGGATAGCACCATGTTGTCCAGATTTGTATAGTAGAACAACAATTGGTACCACATAGTCTAGGTGTACAGTGAACTACACCTAGTAGATTTGTGTCAGTAGACTCTGAGGTCAGCACAATCACAATACCATTTTTGGACAGATTTCTCAGAAAATGTCCTCATCACTTCTCTATATATCACTCTGTGTGTGTGTGTGTGTGTGTGTGTGTGTGTGTGTGTGTGTGTGTGTGTACACTATTTGTTCCACTTCTCCAGAAGACTGTAACTAAGTCTCTTTCCCAGGAGCATTCGAGGTCCCTTCTGCAGCCTGTGGAAATGACACAGCTTCTGTCATAAGTGAACCTGTGTCTTGATTTTGCAGGGATGAAGGGAGCCCTTCTCTCTTTCTATTCTGTTCCTCCCAGAGCCATGCCCAAGACCCAAGTGTCCACTCCAGACCCAGTGGACAAGTTAGGATATGTACCCATGACCTCTCATGTCCTAGCTGGTCCACAAGGTCTCCAGTTCTTCCCCTGGGCAAAGGGCCACACACCAGGGACCTCCAGCCTTAGCAGGTTCCAGGGGAGCAGGAGTGACCTCCAAGTCTCCATTAGGATAGCAGCTCCCACCCACAACACCAGATGCCCACCAGCCTCAGAGCTTCGGGAACCTCTGTGCACAGCCCACACTGAGCCATGTGCAAGTGAAGCAGCTGGAGTCAGCCACCTAAATGGGAGATCAGATGGGAGTCAAAGTCCAAAGTGTGGGCTCAAGGGTGGGGTGAAGGAAGGTCCAGGGGGGGTGAGTGGGTAAAGGGTGGGGTCAAGGGAGGTGCAGGGGGGGAGTGGACAGTTTTCATCCAGGTAGTACAACAGGGCCCACTGGTCTATCTTTGGGAAGAAGAGCACGATAAGGAGGAAGTGGCCCAGGGAGGGAGGTGGGGAGTCAGCCTGCAGCTCGGCTGTCGCCAGCTGTGCCCTGCCTGTGTGCAGTTAGGGACAGAGATCAAAGATCAATACTGGAGAGCTGCAGGACAGAGATGGGCTCACACAAAGAAACGGCCACAGTCCCCGGGAGGCCTCCAGTCCAATAAGCAGAACGGAGGAAAAGTCGGGGTCTCCACTCTGTGTCTCCCACCCTGAGAACTCAGTATCCTCCAGTGTGAGGAAGAGAGTTGGAAATCCAGAGCAGACTGGGGTGGGAGCACAGGGAGGTGAGAGGGGAAGGCATACCCGAGACCATCAGCTCACCCACCCCAGCAGTCTGAGCCCCGTTCCTGGCCCCCAAAAGACCATCCACTCTGACACTCCCACCCATCCTGACGCCACACTTACCATGCCCACATGGCCCATAAGCCAGTTCCTTTTGGGAGGCTGAGGGAAACCACGGAGGTGACGGTAGTTCCCATAGGTAGCATAGATCTGGGTCAGAATTCGGGCCAGGAGCCAGAGGGCCCCAGCCAGCAGCAGGAGCTGCCATGGGGAGACCACCTCAGGCCCCAGTCCCAGGCGGGACAGGCTCAGCTGTGACATCCTGCTGGGTGGATAAATGACCAGTGAATAACGGAGGGCTAGGAAAGGGGCAGGGATCTTCAGAGACACTGGACAGAGGACAGAGCAGGAAGGAGGAGTGAGATCCCAGGAAATGCAGGGGAAGAGTCTATAAGAGTAGACAAGAAAATGAGGAGGGGAAGGAGGAGCACGGGGATGAGGGGGAGGACCAGCGCTAGCAAAACATAGAGGAGGAGAGAGATTGATCTGGAGTCGACATCCCTAAATTATGCAAAATTAAAATCCAGGGCTTCAGTTATTCATAAACTACCATCCCCAAAGCCAGCTGGCTCCCTGCAGCATCCATGCTTGGCCAGCTGGCTTTCTGCCCTGCCCTGGCCTTGGATTGTACCTTCCCTATCCCAGACTAGGTCCCTGCAATATCACCACCCCCAGCCTGGCACCTCCTCTCAGGAACAGGAATCTACCATACCTTCCCTCTCCTCTTCTGGGACTCTTTTGTCCCTGGCTTCTGGACGCTGGGAGGCTAGGCCTTTCTAAGCCAGCCAATCTCTGCCAAGCTTGGATGCCTCCTCCTTGCCTGGGAAAGTGGCCAAGATGGGGGTAGAATCAGCCTGGTGCAGAGAGGAATCATCATAAGCTGCCAAAACATGGACACCTGAATCTTAGGACTACTGTGGGACAAAGTTGATGCTGCGTTATCTATTTCCAGTACCCTTGCTCCTCCATGGATATGGTACACTAAGAAAAAGGTGAACTTGGAAATCCACAAGCTGGGAGATCAGAATCTAGCCAGCTCGGTGCCTGATCATTTCCTGAGCTCCTGTCCAATGGGCTGTGAGGATGACAGGCACCGTTTTTCAGTACAATATGAGAAGGCTATGGGACTGAAGAGTCTGCCCACCAGCTACTCAGCCTGGAGGCGTTCAAGTCCTGCCTTCCCAGCAGAAACAAGACTTTCCAGAGCAGGAACAGAGAATGAACCCCAATTGGGGTTTCCAGGTCCAAAACCAGGCATCAAGAATACAGTTAAGACTGGGATGGTTAGAGCTGGGAAGTGCACAGTCATGTGTGGGTGAGAGAGACCTTGAACAGATGGGATCCAGGGGAAGGTAAGTGTGTGTGTGTGTGTGTGTGTGTGTGTGTGTGTGTGTGTGTGTGTGTG